TAATGATGACGACCTCGATGATAATCTTTTGGATTACAACACAACACATTTTGATATAGCAGATTTTGCCTTTATTAATACTGCATTTATTTATATTTAAGGTTAAATGGATGCCAATCAAAATGATGCAAATATGTGTTTCATTGACAGTGCAACAACACATACTATATTGAAATACAAAAAATATTTCTCTCATTTGAAAAAGGGAAAAGATGAATGTCAATACAATAAGTGGCAGTGCAAAATTAATTGAAGGCTCTGGAGAAGCCATTATATTTCTCCCCGCGGGGATGAAAATTGTGATATAGTATGCACTATTGGCCACTAAAGCTTGAAGAAATTTACTGAGCTTTCAGGACATTTAGAAAAATGGTTATCACATTGAAACTATGAGTGATACCGATGGTGAATTTTATTGATCACCAATATTATTGATAAAAAGAAATGCATCATTGAGAGATTACCCTCACTATCTACTGGCTTATATTATGCCAGATTAGGTGTTGTTGAAACACACCTCACGGTAGATCAAAAGACTACCGATTTTCAAATATGACATGATCGCCTTGGGAATCCTGGTAGTATAATGATGAGACGAATAATTGAGAATTCACATGGCCATTCATTAAAAGGTCAAAAAGTGTTAAACTCAAATGAGTTAACCTGTGTTGCCTGCACTCAGGGAAAATTGATAACCAGGCCATCACCAGTTAAAGTAGGTATTGAATCACCTACATTTTTGGAAAGAATACACGGGGATATATGTGGACCAATAGACCCACCGTGTGGGCCATTTCAATATTTTATGGTGCTTATTGATGCATCTATCAGATGGTCACATATATGTTTATTATCTACTCGCAATATGGCATTTGCGAGATTGCTTGTCCAAATTATTAAATTACGGGCACAATTCCCCAATAATCCAATTAAGACTATACGTCTGGATAATGCTGGTGAATATACATTGACTGCATTTGATGATTATTGCATGTCGATTGGAATTAATGTAGAGCACCCAGTTGCTCATGTTCATACACAAAATGGTCTGGTAGAATCACTTATTAAAAGATTGCAATTGATTTTTAGACCATTACTGACGAGGTCTATGTTGCCCGTTTCAACTTGGGGGCATGCAATCTTACATGCAGAAACACTTATAAGAATGAGACTGACAAACTATCATAGCTACTCCCCGATGTAGTTAGTATTTGGTCACGAACCAAATATATCTCATCTACGTATTTTTGGGTGTGCTGTTTATGTTTCTATTCCACCCCCCAAACATACAAAAATGGGTCCTCAACATAGATTGAGCGTTTATGTCGGATATGAATCGCCGTCAATTATAAAATATCTTGAACCTATGACGGGTGATTTATTCACTACAAGATCTGCAGATTGTCATTTTGATGAATCATATTTTCCGACATTAAGGGGAGACAGAAATGAACTGAAAAGGGATATTAATTGGAAAATCCCATTGAATTTTTGTGATCCTCGTACAAAGTGGTGTGAACTAGAAGTTCAACGCATTATACATTTGCAAAATATTGCAAATCAGTTACCGGATGCATTCAATGATTCGAGCAAAGTTACTCAATCATATATCTAAGCTGCTAATGCTCCGTCTAAAATAATTATCCCCGATGGACAAATTGCAAGTGCTAATAAATCAGAAACACACTTAAAGCATGGTAGACCACTCGGTTTCAAAGACAAACATCCTCGAAAGAAAAGAGGAATTAATGATGATAATCATGAAAATATCAGGAATGACATTGATAAACCTCAATCTAATGAGTAAGTCAACCCTGTCATAATTGCTTCAGAAGAGCACGATTTTGAAGAACATAATGAGATTATTGAAAACTCAATTAACTATGTTACTTCAAGAAAATGTTGGAACCGTAAAGAGGCAATTATTGATAATGCCTTTGCATACAGTTTAGAACTTAATATAATGGAAGAAAACGAGGATTCAGAGCCAAAATTGGTTCATGAATGTCGGAAAAGAAATGATTGGCTAAAATAGAAAAATGCGATTCAATCAGAGCTTGACTCATTAAATAAAAGAGAGGTCTTCGGACCAATTGTCCAAACACCGGATAGTATAAAACCAGTTGGATACAAATGGGTGTTTGTACGAAAAAGAAATGAGCATAATGAAATTATAAGATATAAAACACGTCTTGTAGCTCAGGGATTCTCGCAAAGACCTGGAGTAGATTTTGATGAAACATACTCTCCGGTTGTTGATGGAATAACATTTAAATACCTTGTGAGCCTAGCAGTGCGAGAAAAGCTCAATATGCGTCTTTTAGACGTAGTTACTGCATATCTTTATGGCTCATTGGATACTAATATTTATATGAAAGTTCATAAGGGATTCAATATGCCTGAAGCATACAAATCAAATCCAAGGGAATCATATTCCATCAAATTGAAAAAGTCATTGTATGGACTTAAATAATCAGGGCGAATGTGGTATAACCATCTGAGTGAATGTTTAATAAAAGAAGGTTATACTAATGATCCAATATGTCTATGCGTCTTTATAAAGAAAAATGGATCAAATTTTGTCATTATTGCAATATATGTTGATGATCTCAATTTAATTGGAACTCCATAAGAGATCAAAATTGCAGTTGAATACCTAAAGAAAGAATTTGAGATCAAAGATTTAGGAAAGACAAAATATTGTATGGGATTACAAGTGGATCATGTTAATAATAGAGTATTTATCCATCAATCCACATATACCCAAAAGGTATTAAAGCAATTCTATATGGATAAATCTCACTCTTTGAGTACACCAATGGTGGTCAGATCCCTTGATCCCAGTAAAGATCCATTTAGGCCAAGAGAAGAAAATGAAGAGATACTTGGCCCCGAGGTACCATATCTCAGCGCTGTTGGCGCATTAATGTACCTTGCAAATTGTACCAGGCCCGACATATCTTTTTTAGTAAATCTACTTGCCAGGTTTAGCGCATCTCCCACAAAACGGCATTGGAATGGTATCAAACACATTTTTCGTTATCTTCAGGGGACTCATGACCTCGGTTTATTTTATTTGAGTGAATCTCTAAATGAATTAATTGGTTATGTTGAGGCTGGTTATTTGTCTGATCCACATAAAGTAAAATCTCAAACTGGTTATTTATTTACTTGTGGTGAAACTGCAATCTCTTAGAGATCCGCTAAACAGACAATAACAGCTACCTCTTCAAACCATGCCGAAGTTTTAGTAATTCACGAAGCCAGTTTTGAATGCGTTTGGTTGAGGTCCATGACTCACCATATTAAGAAAAATTGTGGCTTGATTACCGATGATATATTACCTCCGATAATATTATTTGAAGATAATGCAGCTTGTATAGCTCAATTAAAGGGATGGTATATTAAAGGCGATCAGACAAAGCACATATCTCCGAAATTCTTTTTCACTCACGATCTTCAGAAAAGTGGTGAAATTAATGTGCAACAAATTCGATCGTCTGAAAGTTGTGCAGATTTGTTTACGAAGGCGCTACCGACTGCAACATTCAACAAACTGGTGCAATAAATTCGTCAGACGAAAGACATCAAATAAAGTCCAAAACAGGGGGAGCACATTAATACAAGAATGATATACTCTTTTTCCTTCACTATGATTTTTTCCCATAGGGTTTTTTTTATAATAAAGTTTTAACGAAGCACATTCTTTTGCATAAAAGCATCCAAGGGGAGTGTTATATACATATTACATACGTTGCATCTACGTATGTACATATTAATATATGGATGCATTTTCTACACCTCATTAGTACGTGTACTGTAATAATAATTAACGGTCCTATATATATGTGTGATTGATGATGAAATAGAAGTGAACGAAAAATTCATTCACAAAGTCTCTCTCTTTTGTCTTTTTACATTGCAGTAACTTATATATATATACATATACATCTATATTTATATCATTCACCACACATATCACTATACATATATACTTAATAATATTATATTATATAATTATTATATAACACGAGTCAAGTTTTTCAGTTCAAAGTATTGAAAGAAAACTAAATTTCATTTCATAATAATGCATAAAGCAATATATATATATTTAAATTGCTAATATGATTGTATCTTCAAAGTTGTTGAGTTTAATTCTTAATCCATTCCTATTGACACTATCGATCCAATACTATTTCATATAAAAAAAATGTAGTCAAGTTCGATTCATAATGGTACAGTTTGATAAAAAAATTTTAAAATCCAATAAGAAGTAATTTGAAAAAAAACAATAACAACAAAATATAAAATCGAAAGACGAAGATAGCTGTTTGCACTGCAATCAACAGCGACGCTAACGGCAACAACAACAGAAAATTCAAAAGGAATATAGAAGATGAAACAATAACTGCTAGAGAGAATTGATCAATAGCGACCGCTAAGTTTATAATTTGTTATAAACTTTATTATTATTATTAAGAATAAATTAGTAATTTTAATATTAAAACTACTTATGTTTTTTTTTTAAAGCATTTTTAGAATCTAAAATTACTTTTATTTTTTTTTTATAAAAAGTCAATTCAAATAAAATTAAATATTCTTTTTTAAAAATAGAAACAAAAAATACTTTATAAAAGTCTATCCAAATACAACCTAAGTGATCAAATACTAATATTAAATTACTCTTAATTTTCACCTAAATTACAAAAAACTTACATAGATCTTGTAAGCTGCGGGAGTATATTATATATTGTAGGGAGTACAATAATTAATACTCCATCTATCCCAAAACTATAATCTTATCTGAGTTGTACAACAGTTATAAAAAATACGAGCAAAATTTTTTTTTCCTGTATTAGTGTAAAATGTATGAATATTTGTGTAATTATAATCAAAAGGTTGAGATAATTTTACTATGGAAATGAAACTATTGGGACAAACATAAATAATAAAAAATAATAAAAAAGAAGACTATTATAGCGGGAGAGATTGGGAGGGAGGGAGAACAACAAAATATCAGCTAAGCTTATGCAATCGCCACTAATTAATTCGAAGAGCGGGCAGAAGAAACCAAAAAGCCTTCCGATCGCCGACCGCCGACTGTGGAAAGGAAAACCAGGGAAATCCTACTTCACTCCATTGCTCTCTCCGGAAAATGGATACCTTAGCTTTCTCTAATCTTCATCCACTTTTTAATCCTCGCCGCTCCACCGCGGGTAGGATTGCTCTCACTGTTAAATGCTCCGTTACGCCGGCGTCCTTGAGTGAGTATGCTCCATTTTCCGCAATTCAATTGGGATAATTTTGTTTTTCTTTATTTTTTAAGAACTTCTACTTGCTTGGGTTCATATTTTTCAGTTGTTTGTTCTTTGCGGGTACTGTTGGTTATGTGTGCATATGTGTATATACATTCCATCTTCAGTTGCTCCGGAGTGACCAGAGTTAATGCAATTGTCTTCTAAAAAGTATGGTTGGTCTGAAAAATGTACGTGTATGTGTTCGGGAAATGCAAAGAGGGTATTGTTATCATTTTTGGGTCAAGTGGATGGTAATGATCTCAATTGCTGCAGTGGACCATTCTGTTAAGTTCAAGGAAGCTGCAAAGCATGGGAATTTGATTCCACTGTACAGGTCAATTTTTTCTGATCACTTGACACCTGTGCTTGCATACCGGTGCTTGGTGAAGGAAGATGAGAGAGATGCTCCCAGTTTTCTATTTGAATCCGTAGAGGCTGGTCTGAAAGCGTCCAGTGTTGTAAGATTATTTTCATCCCATTTCGATTCATTTATAAGATTACATCTTCTTGCATTAACTAAGGTATATGGAAACTCTGGATTGTGAACTTTAATTGATGTTAAAAAGTGTGATTGTTTGGACATATGTTATAATTGTCAGTGGTTGGCTGCATTTTTGCAAGCCATTTTTCATCCCATTAGATTAATTTCAAGATTACCTCATCTTGCATAATCATAAAATATGGAGGTCTGGATTGTGAACTTCAGAATTGATGTGTGTTTAAATTTTGATTGTGGGCCAGTTATAGTTGTTGGTGGTTGGCTGTAATCAAACACTTTGACATGTGATAATTTAAATATTAGTATGAGGCTTGTTGAACCAGTGAAAAATGAATCTGCATGACTCACCAAGTGCTGAAAGATTAAAAATACATGATGTTCACTTTTAGTCATTAGCTCTGTGGTATTCATGGATATATTAGAGTTTAAGATTTCTTGAAGGTGTTCAATGCATTATGTTTCATTCTCTAGATTCAAGATTGGTTTTGGTTGGTTTACCTTTGAAAAACATATTCTGTACGTTTTTAGATTGTAAGAATTGTTTGATTGACAAAATATTTTTGTGGATCTTTATAGAAAGTCATAAGAAAAGCTGCCCATCAAATGATGAAAACAGCTAATCTTGGGAGTATAATCTAAATTTATTGCGCTATAATTTTATAGCATAGGGTGATTTCACTCTTGAAGTAAAGCACACGACTGAGCAATACAGGTCCATTTTGCCATGTTATGTTTAAGATTTCTATTTTTATCAGTGTTTTAAAGATGAATTGTCAAAGTTTTCTTTTAAATTAATTTGGCAGGCATTGAAAACAAAAAATATCTCCTTTTAAATTTATAGACAATTTGTAAATATGTTTTGAATCAAGAATTTTATATATTTTTAATTTGGGGTTATATTGGTTAGCTTTCTTGACCTTATGTGTTGTTGCTATTAATAAAACACCAATCTTTCTTCTCCATTGTTCCTCCTGTAAATTTTTTTGTTGCTTTTGATACTATTTTAATCTATTTTCCAGGGACGGTATAGTGTTATTGGAGCTCAGCCGACGATGGAAATTGTTGCAAAAGATAACATGGTTACTGTAGTTGATCACCATGAGGGGAAGAGGACACAGGACTTTGTGGAGGATCCCATGGTCGTTCCTCGCAGGATTATGGAGAAATGGATACCACAGCGAGTTGATGAGCTTCCTGAAGCATTTTGTGGTACTATTTAGAAATATTACACAGCATAGTTTCAATCACTACTACTTGTGGATGAATGTTAAATGTAGATTTATGGAGATATCTGTATAAGGATCAGGTAGAACTACATAGCTGGGGATCTTCCATCTTGCATTGAAGATTATTGTGGCTCTACTTGGTTATTACTACTATCTATCCTTATGTTTATGCATTCTTGTGTGTATATACATATATGTGTGTTGTGTGTATCTTCGTAGATTCATACACATTATAAAATATAGATTTTAGAAAATATGGAAGCATTGAGTCAACTCAAAATTGATTTGAGTCCTTGATTTTGGTAGTGGTGTTTTTCTCATTATTAATAAATATCACTGAAACTTCCATACAATTTAGTTGTTGAGTGTTAGCTGAGTGACTACCTTGTTTCTTCAAGAAACAAGAATCCATACCTGTGCATTCTTGACTGTGTAAATATGAATTATGTGCTTTGGTGTTTAACATCCTATTGTCCCTAAAATAAGTTGATCTTACACATTGCACCTTAAATCTTATTGAATAGACACGCCACAGATGGTGATTGTCACGTGTGAGGATTCATGAACTTCCAACGAAACGAGAAAATTTACAGCAGTTATACCACCCTCATACAAATTGTATTCCATCTTGGATGCCCAAGCAACCAACCATATCTTCTGTTTTTTTTCCTCAACAGGTGGTTGGGTTGGTTATTTTTCATATGATACAGTGCGGTATGTCGAAAAGAAAAAGCTTCCATTTTCGAGTGCTCCTAAAGATGATAGAAACCTTCCTGATGTTCATCTGGGTCTTTATGATGATGTAATCGTCTTTGATAATGTGGAAAAGGTTTGTTCTTCAATTTATCTCTTGTTTAGTTCATACATCATGAAATGAATGGATCTGACTTATTCATTTGTTCATACTTTTTTTTTTATTTTTTTTATTTATGGATTTAAAAATTAAACACGAGGAATTTTTAAATGAAAAAAATATAATTGCTGAGCTCTGAAACATTTTGTCAGGCATATCCATTATGATCTCTATAACTCTCATATTTCTAAGTTTATTTATGGTATTATTTGAATCTATTTTTTCAATAGACCAATCTTTTGAAATATCTGACAGCACAATTCATTATTCTTCATGATTTAATTTAAGCAGGGTGTGTATGGGTTAGATTTGAAATCGAAAATTTTATTTGAGTTTTTGTTTAAATAGTATTTTGATGTGATATTTTGTGAGAAGAAATAGTGTATTTATCGGGGACAATGTAAGATGAATAGTGAGATTTTGGTTTTGGTTTCAAAACCAAACAAACCCGTTGTATTTGCTATTTTTAAGTTCATTTTTCTTTGCTGTTGATTTGTGTCAGGAGTTTTAGCACTAATCTACTATTTTTCTTTCAGAAAGCCTATGTGATACATTGGGTTAGATTGGATCGCTTTAAAACAGTTGAGGAGGCCTATGATGATGGAATGAACAGATTAGAATCTTTAGTCTCAAGAGTGCATGACATAGTACCGTAAGTAGTCACATTGGCTTTGATTATCTTCAATTTAGTGCTAAAAATTTGATTCTCCACTCAGTAATGTTGATATCTTTCTCTTCCTTTTTTATTTATTATTTTTAATATCGCAGTCCTAAGCTTTCTGCGGGGTCAGTAAAGCTATTCACTAGCCTTTTTGGTCCATCTTTAAACAAGTCTACAATGACAAGTGAAGAATACAAGAAAGCAGTAATTCAGGCTAAGGAACACATTCAAGCTGGTGATATCTTTCAGATTGTTCTCAGCCAGCGGTTTGAACGTCGAACTTTCGCAGACCCTTTTGAGGTTTACCGAGCATTAAGAATTGTCAATCCAAGTCCTTACATGACTTATTTACAAGTACGCTCACTCTTCCTTGAATTGGTTCATTTATTAGTTGTTTTAGTTGCTTCATTTGTTACTGTCTCCTAACATATAACAAATGATTAGGCAAGAGGTTGTATACTGGTCGCTTCAAGTCCTGAAATTCTTACACGAGTTAAGAAGGTAACATTGTTCGCCCTTCTCTATCTTATTCAGCTTATACATATATATATATATGTATATACTGTTAGTTTTAATTTTTCACGTGTCATTTTATCTTTCATATATTTTGATCTGTTGTTCCTAGAAACTTGATACATTCAAAAAATAACTACCGGCCCTTTTACAAGCATGTTCATCAAATTTCTCATTGTTAAGCTCCCAAAAATAAATTTAAGCCTACGTACATCCGAACTTTTAGGTTATGCCGTAGAGGAAACTACTCTTTATCTAGTTTGTCTAATCTCTTGTTAGTGTGTCCTTCAACCTCCTACATTGCGTACAGTTGAAAGTAGAAAGGTTTTGAAAGAGAAAAGATTAGAATACATAATGATTATTCTCGTTGATGCACTAGGGATATATAAAGTACAAAAGTAGGCAGTTAATTGCAATAGGAGCTAATCGATAATGTAAGAGTTAACGAATGAGCTAATAAGGGAGCTAATCTAGAAATAATTGCGGAAGCTAGTATTAGAGCTAATCTAGGAGTTAATGGGGAGAATTAACATAGATGATTATGCCTAGATAATACAGATAAATTCTAATAGCACCCGTAGAGCGACATTGAGTTTGGATAAAAAATCATTGAAGTTGGCGGCTGGAAGCCCCTTTGTAAAGATATCCATATATTATAGGGTTAGAAAGTGAATCGAGTGCTATGCATTTGCGGACGAAGTTTAGATCAAGCTTAATATGTTTGGTGCTTTGATGTCGCACCAGATTAGCGAAGAGGTAGATTGCGCTGATGTTGTCACAATAGATAGTTGTGGCCTTGTTGAGAGGTTGGGGGAGTTTGGCTAGAAACTGATTAAGCCATCAAGCTTATGCAACAACATCTAGCACTCTGCAGTATTCAGCCTCAGCACTAAAGCGAGATAGCGTGTGCTGCTGTTTGGAGGACCATGAGATAGAAATTGTTGTCGTATTTAGCATCTATAGGTTATGAGATAGAGATTGTTGTCGTATTTAGTATCTATAGATCCAGATACCATTTTCTCTCCCTGATGAAGTGATAATTTATTTCGATATGTTTTGTTCGTTTATGAAATACTGGATTTGATGCAATATGTAGTGTTGCCTGGATATCACACCATCACTTCATCTTCGCCATATCATAGAACTTGAGTTCATAAAGTAATTGTATAATCCAAAGAAGCTCACATGTAGCTAAAGCTATAGCACGATATTCATCCTCAGCAGTAGAACGCGCAACTGCATATTGTTTCTTACTTTTCTAAGATATCAAATTACCTCAAACGAACACACAATAACCAGAGGTAGAACGCTTGTCGATTGGAGACCCCACCCAATCAACATCTGAAAATACAACAATTTCAAAATGACCATAATTTGTATAAAGTAAGCCTTTTCTAGGAGACCCTCTACTGCAAAATACGCATAAGTGCCTTCCAATAAGAGTCATATAGAGACTGCATGAACTGACTCACAAATGATATATTTGGTCGGTTGATAGTGAGATGATTAAACTTTCCAACCAGCCTCTTATATCGTCCGCATGTCAATGGCTTTCCTTTTCTGGAAGTAATTTTGTATTTGGATCCATAGAAGAATCCATAACCTTACATTCATTCATATCTGTTTCTTCCAGCATATCAGGAACATACTTACTCTAAGAGAGGATAACACCATTCTTCGATTGGGCAAATTCAATTCCTAAGTACTGTAGTGTTCTCAAGTCTTTAGTCTGAAAATGATTGTGTAAATGCTCCTTTAACTTTGTAATACCATCTATATCATCTTAATGATGACAATATCATCAACATAAACAATTAAGTAAACGTATCGTCTCTTTTAAATTATGCTTGAAAAATAGGACGAACATTGTGTCATACCAAATTCTTGAATAGCAAAACTGAAACGCTCAAACCATGCTGCAAGCCATAGAGTGAGCGACATACAAGACTGGACTCTTCTTGAGCAACAAAACCAAATGGTTCATTATATACCTTTTTTTAAAGCTCACCATGCAAAAAGACATTTTTAATGTCAAGGTGATAAAGGAACCAACCACGCATTGCTGCCATCGAAAGAAAAAAACAAATAGAAGACATTTTGGCAACAAAAGAGAAGGTTTCTGTCTAGTCTTTTCCATACGCTTGAGTAAAACCATTTGCAACAAGTCGAGCTTTAAGTCGATCAATGCGACCATCAAGTCCAATCTTGATGGCATAAAGCCATCGGCAAGTTACAGGTGTCTCTCTTGGCGGTAACGGAATCAATTCCCAAGTATTGTTAGCATGCAAAGCAGACATCTCTTCCATCATGGTATGACACCACCCTCAATGACCTAAAGCCTCACGCCAAGAGCAAGGAATAGAGACAATATAAAACAGTCACAACACTACGCACGGAAGGAGATAAACAGTGATAACTAAGAAAATTATAAATAGGGTTAGGATTACGAATGGACCAAGTACCTTGACATGGGACGACAAGTGACTGTAGAGTCGCAATCGGGGAAGACGATAGAACCGGATATGAGTCCATAATAAGCGCAGGTGATGGTGACGTAGGTATGTTACGTTGCCATGTATGCCGACTATAGACTTGAAGTGGAGGCTTGAGAATAGGGACAAGTGGAATAAGAATCACTATAAAGTATGGTGGTGACTCAAAGAACGTAACATCTGCACTAAGATAATCTCGATGAGTGAAAGAAGAATAACATCTATATCTTTTTTTAACCCGGGAGTACTCAAGAAAAAAAACATTTGATGGATCAAGGATGTAATCTGTCCAAACCAGGAGAATGATCATGAACAAAGCACGTACAACCAAATAAACGAAGAGAAAAAAAGTATATGAACACATTTGGCTAGAAATATGTTATGGGGATTCGATATCCTAAGATAGTAGACGGAAGACGATTAATAAGAAAACATGTTGTAAGAATAACATCAGCCCAAAAATGAAATGGAACATTATAATGTATGAGGAGGGTACGAGCTGTTTCTATTAGATGACCGTTTTTTCGCTCAACCACTTCATTTTGTTGTGGGGTGGAAGGATAAGTCTACCGATGAATAATTCCTTCAGAGGACACAAAATCACTAAATGAGTGAGAAACATACTCTCTACCATTATTACTTTTAAAACCTTGATAGATGTATAGAATTGTATTCAAATTTCAGTACAAAACTTTTTGAATATAGAGGGTAATTCAAATTGATTTTTCATTAAATAAACCCAAGTACATTGAGAAAAATCATCAATAAACGTAACAAAATATTGAAAACCAAGAGTTAAAGTAGTACGCAAGGCCCCTAAATATTAGAGTGAACCATTGCAAAGGGCTCAAATGCTCGAATATCAACGCACTTGAGGGAGAAAGTACAAGACTGCTTTGCAAGCTTACTTATGAAAATTAGAAAAAAGATGCTTTAATTTAGACAAATTGGAATGACCTAATCGCTAGTGGAATAATTCAAAAGACTTAATAGAAGATATAACAATGGTAGAAGTATTACGACGGGACTCGTTTAGGTAATATAACCCATTGGACTTACGTCCGCTACAAATCGTCCGCCCCGTGCTGAGATCTTGAATGACAAGATAATCACTAGTTAGTAAGATACAACAATCTAGAGCTCTAGTGAGACAACTAACAAATATGTGGGTAAATGGGCTTTGAGGGACATAAAGTACAGAGTGAAGAGGTAAATTAGGTAATGGACAAACGCTAGCAACAACTTGAAGGTAAGCTCTATCACCATTAGCAAGAGTAACATGAGTTAGTGAATTTGATGGATGAAATGTAGAAACTAAAGAGGATTACCAGACACATGATCAGTTACACTTGAATCTAAGACCCATGGACTAAGAGAAGTCTGGGAAATCCCAATAACGGGAGTATTGGTATTAGGTGAGTTGGTAGTACTAGTGGAGGATGACTGCTGAAATGCCTTATACCGAAGGAATAGGCATAATCCGTTTTTCGTAAGATAATAGTGTCAGATGAATTTTCATGCGAATCACTAGAAACAACATTCGTCGAGCGAGGGGTCGTCCATGTAAGCTGAAGCAACCTTCTCGTGTATGGCCCATTTAGTGACAATAACTAAATTGTGAACGATGTCCACTGCGATCTTGACTCCCTCGCCCACCACGATTTTTATCACGATTACCTGAGCTAGAATTTTGAGAAACTAAAGCTGAACTATCCATAGTATTAGTAGATGAGGTGTTACTGCTAGAGTAGAGTTGTACTAGACGAACAAGAACATCTTCCAATGTGGGTATAATGGAACCTCCTAGTATCAGGCCTTGAACATGATCAAGTTCAGGCTTAAGGTGAACAATAGCTAGTACGACAAAGAATTTGTTCCAAGCAATCTCTGGATTTGAAGAACTGGTAGAAATAAGAGAACGGAACTCCTGTCAGAGTTTCTAATTTAATCACATAAGGGGGAAGATCAATTGTGAGATCTTTAAGTAAAACGAGACTTGAGACCACATCATATTAACGCTGAATATCATTGCTGTAAATTGAAGCAAGCTTATTCCAAACTTCATTACATGTCTCAAATGATTGATACATGGAAAGTATGGTTGGATCAAATTGGTGGAGGGCAATGTCACTTGACGCATTTTGAGGAGAGGAATGTGCCGGTGCGGCGTGTGTCTGAAAAGGCCGCCGGGAAAGGGACGAAAAATGACAAAAACCGAAACTAGGTCTTCCGGTGACGGCGCATGAGGGCGCATGCGGCGGCGGATAACGGCTCTCTCACCGTGGTTGGAGGCGCTGGTCTGTTGGGAGATGTATTATGGTGTTGGTTGGATGAAAAGATGACTCAAATTGAAATAGGAGAAAAATTAGGGTTTTGGTTGAATTAGAGTTTGAGAGATGGAAGTGGCGGCGGCTGCTGGGACTTGCAGCGGCGGCAGAAAACAAGATTTTACCTAAACTCTAATTGGCTCTAATACTATATAGAGAAATAAGGAGG